TCCCAACTGGTGCCCTATGCGTTCAAGCATGTGCTACATATCTATGAAGGTGCTTTGGCAAGCTTGCAATTTCACGTACTTCCTCACACGATCAGGAATATGGCGGCGGCCAAATGTCTTGTTGCTCGAGCGTAGCTTTGTCTATGGTATTGTTTGCTAGAGAACGCGTGGAAATGATCTGCGAGATCAACCATGGGTGAATTTTTCTTCTTCTTTTCCTGTATATTTTTATCTTTTTTCCTTCTCTTTGTCTTTCTCTTTTTCGTTGAGTAAAGAAGCCGTAGTTGCGAGTCAGCGCTCTGTCCTGTCTGGTGTGTCTCTTCCTATTTCTTTCTTCGCGGTGTTCTATTCCATTATGTACTGCGTTCCCCATCTTCTGTGAGTAACAATATCTCTACGTTCTAGCAAACTGGCTCTTAACAATTCATGTTTCGCGGACACCTTGTAGATCGGTGGAGATGATGGAGAACCCCGTTCGTGGAGACGGGATGGGAAAGGTATAGCTTCATTATGATATTGATTAAATGGATATAATCAAGGGCTAGTTTGAAGTAGACTTCTTTTATTGATATAAACACACAGAAAAAAGACTTACCCGAAAATAAAAAGTTTCTTCTCAACCTAAAAAAAAATTTCAAATAAACTTTTTTCGGGGGTTCGACTGATGAGATAGGGCGTCGCGGACCCCTAAAATCCTTCGCTGACCGCGAAAGGTACACGGACCACCATTTGAGAACCACGTTTCTAGCAGACTGACATTTCTCTGTCTAAACTAGGTTGCCGTCATGTGCGCTTTGCATAAGGACATCATATCTGAACATTTTGTTCCGGACGCTGTTTCTTTTTTGTTACTGGACGCGAGCAAGCGCGTCTCCTGGCACGAGCTCTGGGCACTTACAATGATACGGGTGCATTTTGTGACCAGCTGTTTCTTTGTGTTTTTCCCGAGAGCGCGTGGCATGAGCGTCGATTACTGTAAAGAATGTCACCACATTCTTTACTGTGCACATGAAGCAAAGTGCACATGAAGGCACCCTATTCGCGGCGAGAAGTATAAGTATCGCCCCCTGGTGGGAATTTTTTCGTAACCCAGATTGAGGATACTTCAACTTCCTCTGCCTGTGCAAGCACGCTCAATGCCAAGCTTCTAGGCACTATGAAAATGAAAACATACCCACGTGGGTAGCACGTGCACTGCCCATAGTGAGGAAAACAGAAGCGCCACTAGCGAGCTTCTCACCGCGAATACGGCGTGCAAGTTCTTCTGCTCCTTGCACACATAGTGCATTTGTTTAACCCCCCCCCCCCCCCCCCTGAAAAACACACCCGTGTGTTCCCCCCCCCCCCCCCCCGGCCTATCTCAACCAATGACAACGCGCGCTTTTCTTCATCGTCATAACAAGTTCCCCGCGCCTTCGCTTTGTTGCCCTTTCATTGGCGCGCCCCCCTTGCTTTCTGACGCGACAAAGACGTGCTTTGGAAGCCTTCCTTGCCGTATACATTACCTGAGATTCATTAGAACTGCACGCTTGAAATCTTCGCAGGCGTGTTTCCGCGGCGGTTGCCAAGCCGCGAACGCAAAAATGGTGAAAGGTTATTTCCAAGGCATGCGGTGGTCATTATTCTTGGGAGGCCATACCGAGACATGCAAAGGCAAATACAACGTCCCCGTGCACCCTTAAAATGCTATGAAGCTTTTTTTTTTTTTTTTTTTTTTTTTTTTTACCTTTCAGCATTTTTACTGTGTTCTGCTGCACTAAGCAAGTCACGGCTTGGAGCGTGTGACTCAAAAAGTTATTTATATTAAACGGTCGCGTCCGTACACAGGTTTTTAATGTTCTTTACTTAAATTTAAACTGACGAAATGCATGCATATTATTTTTAACGCATACGGCGTGCATAGGCAATGGCTCAGGCAGTTCTCCGAAATACGTGCTTAAAGGGGCGGTGCAACGATTTTTGTATTTTGCACAAATACCACTTAGAACGGATCACTGACGTTAATAACCTGTGAAATACCCGTTCGTTTTTCACCACATGCAATCAAAGTCGCAGAATAAAATAAAGAAAAACGAGCAGAGTTCACCCCTTCAACTCGTAGCCAGAACAAGCGGCCACGTGATCTGGAGCCGATTATATCCCGCCAGTGTTGATCATAGCCAAGCGCTGGGGTTGGCAAGGCACAGGACACGCGCTGAGTTCCAGACATTGTTATGGTTCGGCTGTTATCGTCATTGCAGCGATTGGACACAGGACACTACCCGAATGCTTCTCGAGCTATCGATTATCACGAGCCAAAATCGAGCGTCCACGCCATGCTCGGGTCCAATCTATGAGCCGCATTCAAATATCGTCACTGGGCGGTACTGCTACCGCCCAGCTACGTCATCAGGTTTTGCAAAAGAGAGATTGAATGAAAACACTCGGTCTTGTCCTCGAAATTACAGCGCGACAAAGGCGTTTCTTGTCAGCGGCGTTGCGTGCGAGTATCCTTGAGCCCCACCAGTGCCAGTAAGCTCGCGTAAAGTGAAAAACATTTCAATTGAATATCGTTGCACCGCCACTTTAAGATTAAATTAAGCTGCTGCCGCACTGCTAATGCCTCATACAAAAGACGGTCTTCATACACTGTCTGAGTCGTTGTTCTTCCGTGTATGACGTCATATGAGACATGCAGATAGCGTCTGCAGACATGTTTGAAGCAGGCATAGTGAGGAAGCATACGTGTTTCGACATGCTTAAGGCCTGTCCGCGCATAATTCTGTCATCATAGAGGTAAAGGTCACAACATATTTTCTCTGATTTATAAGTCGTGGTACTGCGGCTTCAGTAACACCTTCACGAATCCAATAATCTGCTAGCAGGATGTAACCTTGGTAGCCTTTGTAATTTATAGACGTCAGTTGTCAAACGGCTAGATTCATACCGTCACGGCTGAAGTTTTACTGAACGGAGAGAGAAAATAATACACTTTATTTCTATACGCCTGGTCCGGCGCTTGTTAAGATATTTCTGGCGAGTCTACCATTGCTCTTCGGGGGAGGGTGGTCGAATATTATGAACCATGGTAACCAAAACAACGTAACAGAAAGACCCGCTTCACAAACGAGAGGAGTTCCAAGAAAAAGTTTTTCTTAAAACTTGAATTATAACTATTCTAACTGACTGATCGAGGCTCGATTAAAAGATTATTTTAGGTTAGCCCCGGGTTTGTCATGGTGGGCTGCTTAACTTGTATATCTTAAAGAGGGCAGTGAATTCCGCAAAGTGGTAACCATTTGTAAAAAGGCGACGTTTCTCGCAAAGAAAAATATTTATTGCTTCGCAATAAAAAAAAAAAAAAAAAAAAAAAAAACAGCGTGACGACATTAAAAATATTTTTTGAAACTGTTGTCATGTTTCCGTGTTTCTTGAGGCATTGTCTTAGAGACATTTGAATTCTGATTGTTTCACTGGTTATCACACTCTAGTTTAAAATCTACGTTCGACCGTTTTATTGAACATGGCCCAATATAATTCCGTGTTTTACCGGTTTTTTTTTTTTTGCTTTTTTATAAGGGTGAATGTTATATTTTTACGACGCAACTTAACTTTCCATAAATAGCTTATGTTCCTTTAAAAAGGCAACCTTGTGTCTCGCGTTTGAAAAAAAAAATGCTTATCTTTATTTCACCTTCCGATAGACCGCAGCAGGCGCTACGAGCGTCGGAACCAATCCAATGCTGTGTAAGTGACACGTGACTAAGAGGAAGGGCGCAGTGAGGCGCGGGGTGCGTAGTCACGTGCTACGTTGACAGCACTGAGTTCGTTGGCGTCGCTCGTAGCGTACGAGGTGGTTCATTGTATGGTGAAACCGTAAATTCGGCTGACCACTCTTGCTACTACCTGGCGAATATCTGAGGTTTTTAAGGTTTTCACGACTCTAGTATTAGACGCACGACAGTCTAATACTACTTAGAGAAACAGTATTGAAATTCACCCCCGAAGCCCACAGTACGAGAATGTTGGTGGCTGTAGACATCAAGAAAGCGTTTGATTCGCTACCACACGACGTAATAATCAAGACCATGGAGACACAAGGAATCCTAGGAAGACCCCTTAACTTAATCAAGACATTTCTCAAAAATAGAAGATATGTAATCAAAGTGGGCAAAGATCAAAGTAGCACAAAGAGCAATGACATTGGAGTGCCGCAGGGTTCTGTCCTTTCCCCCACGCTCTTTAATCTAGCGATGGCACCGCTAGCTTGGAAGTTGGACGAGGTAGAGACTTCATTTTACTATATACGCAGATGACATCACAATCTGGACGACACAAGGCACGAAAGAGGAACAGGTCGAAACACTGCAGGCAGCACTTCACATAATAGAGAGCTTCCTAAAAGAAGTAGGCATGAAATCATCGGCAGAGAAGACTAAACTCCTGATATTTGGTAGAGAAAGAGACAACACCAACCCCACTCTAAAATTCGACGAGCTGACAATAGAAAAGAGTGACGAACACACCATCCTCGGAATCCACGTCAACACCAAACTCAATCCCGACAAATGGATCAAAAGAATGCGCGACACATGGGGACACCGCACCTCGATCATCAGAATAATAGCGAATAAACACGGCGGAGCAGGTGAGGGAATTGCCAGAACGATAGTTCAAGCGGCACTCATACCGAAAGTCATGTATGGCTGTCGCTTTTACAGATTGACACTGCATCATTGGGTCCGTCTCGAAACCCTGATGAACGACGCGAGAAGATGTATTTCGGGCCTTCCGAGACAAACAAGACTGATAGAACTACACAAATGCGTGCCATTTCCGTCGCTGAAAGAATTGGCCTCCACACAAGAACAAGCACAAAGAGTCAAGATGCAACACACCAAGCAAGGCAGAGAAATCGCCAAACTACTTGGTTGGAAATTCGAGAGCAATACACCCATACCAGACCAACTACCACCATGGGAGAGAATCGACATAGCCCAATCGGCCCTATACCACGAAAAATGAACGGCGAAAAAAACAAAGAAAGACGGCGACACAAGGCAATGAAGCACGCCGAGGAAGTAAAAGCCATCATCGAATGTAACGACTCACATACCATCGTCTGCTACACCAACGCAGCCTTCAGTGAACGAGGAAATGCTGCTCTTGCGTGGTACGTTGAAAACACGAAAACTACTTGCACAAGACATGCACCGTACTGCAGAACAGCGCAAGAGGCTGAGATCACGGCCATTGAAGAGGCCCTGAATGCACTAGGACAAGAAGTCCAATGCGGCACGAGCATCATCATGTTCACAGACTCCCAAGACGCCATCCGTTCACTGAAGACGCATCAAGAAACGTGCAAGGCGATTCGAAATATTACGACTACGGCCATCAAGCTAAGGATGCGCGACATCCGAGCCTCGGTACGCTGGATCCCGGGTCACGAAGGGATCGAGGGCAACGAGATAGCCAGCGAGGCAGCAGGAGAGTTAACTCGTTCCTTCCTCCGCTGCCTTCAATGCCACTCCGAAGCCCCCGCGCCCTCTCGAACCCATCGAAATCCACCACAAATGTCACAACCAATCGAGTCTCCAAAGAGCGAACCTGACGGCTTTTACGACCCTTTTTGGGAAATTAAAGCAGCCAGGATCGCTCTGAAGAAAACTATCGACAAGCACAAAGACGTGGCACGGGAAAGCCTTCCCAAGGGATTCCGAAGACACGAATCCGTCCTGCTAAGAAGACTCCAAGCAGGAGCTGCAGTCACTCCATCAATAACGAAGAAATGGGCGGACGCTAAAAAGAAGAAGAATCCGGACTTTGTACCAAAACCAGACCAGTGCAAGTACTGCCTAGAGAATCTCAGAGCAGACACTCAACACTTGGTCTGGGAATGTTCAAAGCTCGACCAAGAACGCAATGACGCCCTGGGAGCGCTCAACCATGAAGACAAACCTTCAACACTCGACGAATGGGTAAACCCGGCAGGAGACTCAGAACGACGCAGCCTCATCCTCCGATCGCTGGTCGACTTTCTGAAGACGGCCAACCTCGGCAGAGACTTGTAGCTGCCACAATTACAACCCTACGCGCTTCCATCATCCTTATAACCCCCTCCCCTCTGGCCCTACCGTAGTGTAGACCGCCAGCAGAATTTCATTCTTAATAAACGTTGTCTGACCTGACCTGACCTATCGAAGAGGTAACACCGGTTATCCACACTTCTATTTATCTATGGCTACTGAAATTTGTCAATATTCACCCTTCCGCGTGGCTATCTTCTCGAAATGTTCTTTAGGGAAGCAAAAAGGTCGGTTCAGCTATTTGCAAACTACCGTCGATGTAAAATTATTTAATGGCGAATTACACTGGACGTTTTGAAGCGCGCCGGGATCAGTTGACGAGATCCGGACTGGAGCACGCGATCCGAACGGGGTCGCGCCGTCTGCGGATCCCCAGTCGAACATGACCACTGCTCCGGGATCGGCGGACGCCTTCCCGTCATTCAACTGCCCGGTAATCCCCTTTCCGCGGCCGCCGCGGTCGTTTCGAAGACGTTTTCGCCATCGCGGCGCTAACACGTGTTCGACGCACGAGCGGCAGTAATGGCTCAGGCGCTTCTAGCAAAGATTGCCGGAATGCCCGTAGCGCGGCAAATACCTTCTCTTCTCCTTCCTGGAAAACGAACCGGCTGTCGAGCCAAGGGGTAAGCATGCGGCCATTGCGAATTCTTCTGATGTCGAGACAATCTAGGAGCCCAGCCCGCGACGTGCTTCTTCTTCTGAGGCGAGATGGGCGAGATCAGACGAGATGCCCCACGAGAAAGGAAGTCACGTGTGTGCGCCGAGGGCTGGCCCGGCTGGCTTCCGGTTGAATCCGCCGAAATCGTGGGAGTGACTTTTCTCGGATCGAGATCGAGATCTGGAGCGGGACCTAATCCAAAACGACTATGAAACACGTCGGTCTCGATCCCCATCGCCCAGTGAAATAGGCTCGCCCCAGAAAAGTCAATCCCGGCGCGCTCCAAATCAACATGGAATTCGCCATTAGAAAATTGAGAGATAAGAAAAGAGGATAGTGGTGATAACACACCCAACACTCTTCTATTCGCGACTCCAGCAAAACGAACAGCACCTAGCGGGAAAACACTGAACTGGCCGGAACAGGTCCCTTCGCGATTTCTGCTCGTCTCTTCTGGCTTCCGTGTTTCCATGTTGTCGGTGGTTTGCGCGACAGAACAGTTCTACCGGTGACTGTGTCGTAACTGTCGTATCGCCTTGTGACCCAGGTTGCTCTGCACGCGACCACGTAACCCCGTGAGCCAGACATTCTGCGTTTTTCAACGCTCATCAGCACCGTGCAAGGACAGTGGGCAGTCCTTTCCTCGTTTTCTCGAAGAAAGTCAAGCCTCTGGAAGTTCGCTTACCCCAACACATCACCGCAGGTTCGAAACGTGGAAGGCAAAACGCGGGGGAACCAATTTTGAGTCCAATGCTTACTTGCTGCTGCCCAAGCGTTGTGCGTTGAGCTGGCACATGGCACGGCACGACCTGGATTCGACAGCTTTATTTGCCCTATAGTGGCGTCCCCTACAGGCCTCTAGAGTCGCGAATACTCCGTTTCACCTCATGTTGTACCGCAGAGAAAGCTAGAAGTGCGAGCTCATAGCGTTGGGAGCTGCTCTTAAAGGAGCAATGCAACAATTTTTGTACTTTGCGCAAATACCGCTTCAAACGGATCCCCAACGTTAATGACCTGTGAAACACGCGTTCGTTTTTCACCCCACGCAATAGAAGTCCCAGAAAAAAATTAAAGAAAAACGAGCAGCGTTCACCCCCTCAACTCCCAGCCAGAACAAGCGGCCACGCGATCTGGAGCCGATTATATGCCGCCAATGTTGATCATAGCCACGCGCTGGGGTTGGCAAAGCACAGGACACGCGCTGAGTTCCAGACATTGTTATGGCTCGGCTATTGTCGTCGTTGCAGCGATTGGCGGCGGGCGACTACCCGAATGCTTCTCGAGCTAGTAATTATCACGAGCCCAAATCGAGTGCCCACGCAGGGCTCGGGTCCAATCTATGAACCGCATTCAAATATCGTCACTTGGGTGTTCTGCGATCCCCACGTTACGTCATCAAATTTTGCAAAGGAGAGATTGAACGAAAATAATTGCTTTTGTCCTTGAAATTTCACCCCAACAAAGGAGTTTCTTGGCAAGTGGCGTTGCGTGCGAGTATCCTTGAGTCCCACTAGTGCCAGTATAGCTCACGTATAGTGAAAACCATTCCAACTGAATATCGTTGCACAGCTCCTTTAACGCACGAGAGCTAGCGCCGTCGAGATGTGCCCTTTAGCAAGGAGCTCGCGCTTGTAGCCTTTGCTGGGGTACACAATAAGGTGAAACAGAGTATAGCGGCGGTGCTCCCGGAAGTAAAAGGCTAGCCGGAAAAAAAATAGGCTCTCTTTCGTTATTTTTTTAGGAATTTTCAAGAGCAAGTACGTATAAAGAATTTAAAGTATGCGTGCGTGAATTGTGGGTTAATTTGAATTGGAGTAGTAGCAATCCACTATACTGTTCTTAAGACCGCGACCGCAAGACCACGGTTGAAAGAGCGAACCGAAATTCGCTCAAATTAATTATACGGACCAGTGCTGTTGTTTCTGTGTCACATCGGAGAAATTGTTCACGTTTTGATGGTCCATCGAATGCTCTACTAAACAAATACACTACCGAAATGTCAACGCATTTAAAGAGTAGTCTTTATGTTATATGGGAGGTTTAGGTCTTAGCATGTCATCGTTATAGCAGAATGCCACATCGGGCGACGTGCCTCGAAGTATGCTTAACAGTTGTCACTCATTTGATACTGCACGATTGTCTAGAAACCTGCAAAGTAAAATCCAAACATTTGATGTAAGGACGAGTTTTTCCAATAGGTGTCATGTTCATAACGCCATTATCTTGGAGAACTGAACGTACACGTCGCAGCGTTTGATGCAACCAAATTGTGAGCTCGCGGCCATGTTTGCCCGGGGCAGGTTGTACTCGGAACTCTAGAGAATATTAGTGTCAAACGTAGCAGCAAGGCGGACTGTATTTCGGGAAGATAAATTAAAAACTTTCTAACATTTTTTTTTCGGAAGGCGGTATTTTTAAGAATAAAAATGAGATTTAAAGAAAGAAAACTTGGGACATGAAATATCCAATTATCACTGCACTGTCTTTGGTTAATTATTACTGTAAACAATATATTTGTTCTCGACGTGATCTTGCTTGCCTGGCGTCCAGTCTATTCCTAGCTGTGGGATCTGCCGTTTCCGGCGAGATATCGCAGTTGGACAGCTTAACCACTTATGTCGGGATTCCAGGATTACATAGAAATAAAACTAAGGAGCAGTTATTTAAGACCAATGTTTCTGCACGGTGTATAATGCGAAGCTATTGTATTTCTTTAATTGGACTGCCTGTGGCACTTCCTTTATGTCCGTTACCATTTCAGCAGCAACCATTGACGACCAACATCCTTCCAAGCAGTCACGACGTTAGAGGAAAGGCACCAAGCCATCGTCCTTAGCTAGGGAGGGTCCATGCTTTGGAAACAACCACCACCATCGGCTGCCTTTCACAAGGCAGGCGCTCTATTCCAGGCAAATTGAAACAAACCAAAAAGGTAACAGAGAAAAGTTTATTCAATAAAAAATAAGTATGAATGTCGTTGAAGCGAATTATTTGGCGTAGACGATGACGCAGCACGCTATGCGAGCCCCAGCGTGACCAGTGGTGAGACTGTCCGGGTAGCCACCGAGGCCGAGGTCATCCCGGTCGGCGTGGAGCTATGAAGATACGTGAACACACTGTAAATGGCTGCAGTCTTCAATCTGCGACTAGAGACAATCCCACGGAACGCCGCATCTTCGAGAGGTGAGGGGAAAACAAATGGCAATGAATCGCTGCATACGCTGAGAGAAAACGCACACAAGCGCGCGTAGCCAGGACCATGACAACGCGCGGCGTGCGCAAGAGAGTGCCGGTACATCATTTACAAGATGGAAACGGCGGGATCTACACTAAGAAGAAAAAAAAAAAAAAGCCAAAACTTTGGACACAAAAAGTTGGTCCCATATTACCTAAAGGCCTATCGACAGCAAGTAAACAACGCAATTGCGACCTCCGTAGAATAAAGCAGCCGGCGTGAATTGGTGGAAGCTGCAAAGAACTATCCCACAAAAGGAGAGAATCTAGGGTCGCAAAAGCGCACCAAAATTCGTCAGATTCTTGCTATAGGCAAGTGCTGTGCAATGAAAGGCCTACTCACGACAATAGCACGCCCAAGGATGGACCGATCTCCGCTGAGATGCAGGTAGGAATCGTCGCGGCTGAAGGTAACCACACCGTGGCGGTCCGCCTCAACGTTGCCCAGGTCACCGACGTGTCTGCAAGCGATGGAAACAAGGGATGTGTAACGTGCCTGCCATGGGGAACAAGAATGACTTCGTGACGAGAATGCTACCCTAGTGTAAACTTCAGGGTCGTCCCGTGCAATCAATTCAGTATTTGAGATTCATATGACGCCATCCTCAGTGTAATGTGCATACCTTACAGGACTGTCAGGACCACCATGGTTGACGGAATCTGGGTTGAAGTGGCCACCGGCGGCGGCGCAACCTGGGGAAAAAGAGACCATTCAGGAAAGCGGGAAGACGAGGGAAAGGGGGAAGGCAGTGCGAATACGAATAACATGTGATGCATACTAGGTATAAGATACAGGCGGGCATCGCCATACCTAGCACACCCGTGATAAGGGCGCGGCACCGACGAGCGGGACGACAGCGTGAGCAATTTGGGCATGTACGCAGGTCATTGTTGCCGGCGTGCCTACCTGTGCTGATGTCGCCGTACTGATGAACGTGAAAACCGTGGATGCCCTCCGGAATGCCGCTTCCATTGAAAGAGACCCGAACATGGGTAGCCTAAATACAAAAAAAGGACCCAAAACAGAAATTAACACACACAAAGTACGAAAGAAGGACCAACTTCGTTTGAGCGCATGTGAAAGTGGAGAGAAAGACCGCAACAAAAAACAATATGCGTGCGCCAAAAGAAAGGTCCAGAAGCATGAACTGCGTTTGGTTTGACGAGTAGCGAAATAAATACAGAAAGGAGATGAAAGCCGTTAGGAGCGCTCCACGGTGCTTGAAAAACCCTAGCGCCTTATCGCATTCGACAATGCACGTACCGAAGACGAAGGGAGCAAGAAAAGAAAAAGGCAAGGAACACGTAGTAACCACTTAAAACTGCTACTCACGTTTAACTGAGCAAACTGCACGATGCCGCGAATATCACCCGCGTTGAGGACACAGATGACGCTCTGCGCGTGAGCACCTGACGCCCAGAAAAGGCATCCGTACAAGGACAGTACTACCGCGAGGACGAAGGATGCTGCTGTGAAAGAGAAAAAAGTACCACGATTTCGTAGCAGAAGAGACGGCAAAACACTTTCATTTAGATACCCACTCTACACCTGCTTGTGGCATGGGAGAAACATAACCCGCATTTCGAACGAGCCCAGCAGAAGCCGCTCAAACTTCAAAGACGATGGCCAGGGTGTAAAGGGGAACAGATAATAGGAATATAACAGAACGAGTAGCAGCGATTACAATATATGTAACTGTGGGGTGTTTTGTCGTTGTTTGCGGTCAATTTATGTTTTGCAAGCAATAGCGAACATTGTGGCCAACCCATGCAAAACTACAGACGAAAATGCTAGCACACTAAGTCATCTGTACTGTTTCAAGCAGATTGAAATATCCTTGCACGAGAGCTTAATTTAAAAACATGCAAAACCTCTTATGTAAACAACCGCAAAAAAAAAAAAAAAAGTGTTTACGTGATCCAGTGGCCTTCGTTTCTCCCCCACTAGCGTAGCAAGCACTTTAGTACAGCAAATCTAGACCGTCTTGGGGGTTTCTACACTCGAAAGTCTAGCGTTAAAATTGATTCGTCGTACTTGTGAGTAACCTGCCCGGGTAAAAAAACAAAAAATACAACACACGCCAAACACATTTAGCCATACGATATGGCAGCGGCCAGATGTTATACGGAAGAAGCGCGCTCACCCATTGCTGCCGCTCAGTCGTGCTCCTACGTTCTCGAATGCGACGTCTACCTTCTGGGACCGGTTTTTTATGCTATCCGTGGCGCCCTTGGAAGCCTTTCCCATAGTACGCTACATTATTTGGCCCGTGCGCAATCCGGGCGTTATTTGTTGCCTTGGCTCCGGTGAATCTGCATTTCGTGCAACCTTATCACGGAGAGCACCGGTGTAATGCTGTATGTACGCTTTTCTGACTCAAAAAAAAAAAAAAAAAGATAAAACACGTAAGAAAGAAGCGCGGAAGTTAAAAGAACTTCACTTTGTGCATATTTTTAGCGATCATATCACTAAGACGAAAAATGCCGAATCACGGCAGAGGAAGCATGAGCGGCGTTCGGTATTCCGTTGAATAGCAAGTTCTAAACGCCCTCCCATCCGAGCCGATTAACATCGAAGCACGATGATGACCATTGTTGAAGGTGTGGAGACACTCAATGACGGAACAGAAAAAATAGTGGAAACACCGGAAACTCGCGTGAGATTTTAATGTGGTCATGACGTTTGATTGGTCATAACGAAATGGTCTGTTTTTGTTTCTTGTTTTTTGGTTTTTTTTAGGTACAGTGCGCCTTGAGCTTAACGCCGCAGCGGCATTTGCCGTTTCTGACGGTTCCTGCGGCGGCCGATTGAACTATCTGAAGAATGTTTGGGTTCCCGATTTCTATCTCATCCTGAGAAGGCATCCCGAGCGTTTTGGTGACAAATTTAACAGTAAGTAGCCAACAGGAGGGCAATATTTGGGAACCCAGTGGCGGCGTTATGTTTGGTGAACACTGTACATACATAATATCGACGTATTGGAACGCCGAATCGTTCCGCGCCTTGGAAACCCTTTTTGATGAATCACCGGCTTGCGACGCCTTCCTGAGACAAAAGAATAATGAACGAGACCGGTCGTTGTTTCGCCGGCTAGTAGAATTCCTCGGAGGTTTCAGCTAGCAGTGGCCCGGGACGGATACAAAAGGTGCAAGAGATTAAAGGATTCCTGAGGTGGTTTCGAAGATCGCCTAAATATGGCGATAACTCACTTTGCGGGCTCTAAGCATCGTAAGAATCCATAAATCATAACAATGAGTGGCCGATTCTCCTATTAAAAAAGCATTCAAATATCGCATTTCACCGAGGTCAGCTCAGGCTTTGGGAGGAGCATTGTTCTGGCAGCTGGGTCGCAAAACTCGTCGAGCACAACTTTGCGCCCGAAGTTTGCGGAACGCGCTAATCGGACTATAGCGACGCTGACGTCGCGCCGAGCAAGGTGTCAATCATTAGAACGCTCATTTCTTTGAGAGCGGCAGAATGTACCAAAGTTCATCGGGGCGTGCGCGCAGCGCGTGTGGGGCGCGAGGAGCCCGCTGATTGAACAACTTCGCTGATGACGTAGCGCCCGTTTGTCCCTGCATCCCTACGCCAAGCTAAAATAATGCATTGCAGATTGTCCTTAGGCGACCTGTTGACGCTCCAAATCTCCCCCAAGATTGTGTTAAAAAAAAAAAAAAAAGATGATAAACCTTGTTAGTCGAAGTCGTCGCTGACGTCAAAGTGACGTTTCCGAACTTTGCGAAAGCCGTAGTTTGAGCTCGAATTCTTCGCTTCGGATCGAAACGAAGTCTCGATCCGAAGCGAAGACTTTGTCAACATGGCGGTTCCGTACGTTGCGGTCGAGCTTATTTTCTGCCACCGTCGGCGCCGCTACCGAGACCACCGGGACGCCTTTGAACTTCCCGACGACGACTTTCGGCGACAGTACCGGCAATCGAAAGCCGTTGTGCGTTGGCTCTGCGACGAGCTTCGTTTGGCGCCCGAACTTCGAAGCGGCGGACAATCGCCTCTACCATGACCGTGGAACAACAAGTTCTCTGCGCGCTTCGGTACTTCGGAACCGGTAGCTTCCCAAGGCATGGTGGCGACTGACGAGAACCTGTCAGTCTCCCACATGACTGCGAGTCGGGCTCTCAGAGGTTTTGCGGCTGCCATCGTTTTTGTCTGTAATATCCGAAGAGGTACCACTAAGCTGGTATACGATTCAGATTGTTGGAAAACAAACAAAAACCGGGGTAATTCTTGGGGAGGGTCGAGTCTCCCGGCAGCCGGCAGAATTATTTCCCCGAAATTCTACTGGCAGTCGGCACTCATTGGTGGTCAAATCAGTTCATCGAACGACGTGTCATCGACAGATCGTTTCACCGGCACGCGATGCAATCACATGAAGGAGATTATCTTCAGTTAGAGGTATATACAGATTAAACATTTTCACACCTTTATATATGTAAGTGAGGTGTCCCATAACTAAGACCCAAATAAGTGTAGCGATAGACCTTATAAAAAAATTTAAACCTTACACCCTCAAAAATGTGTGATTTTTCAAACAAGTTTCTTAAAACGTGTGATAATGCACTACACCTTTCTATAAAAATGTAAAACTACAATACTCCTTCTCGCAAAGGTGTAATTACCACAGTACACTTCTTTTTTGGGGTGTACACAATGGCCCGGGACCCCCCAATAATTGACTGAACAAATAAATTACACAAACGAGGCGCCCAAACAGCACGTCGCTACTTGGCCAGTGTCGAGGCAATTTCGGCCGAAAACCGATTACGAGACGGAATGTTCAACGAGCCTGAATGTCCAACGAGACGGAAGATCCAATAATGGATATTCAGGCACGTTGGACATTCAGGCTCGTTGGACATTCCGTCTCGGTTGGATCTTCCGTCTCGATGGACATTCAGGCTCGTTGGACATTCCGTCTCGGTTGGATCTTTCGTCTCGATGGACAGTCAGGCTCGTTGTATATTCCATCTCGGTTGGATCTTTCGTCTCGTTGGACATTCAGGCACGTTGGACATTCCGTCTCGCCTGTCACGTGCTAGAAAAATTTTTCTTCTTAAATGTACACACTTGTGTGCATATTTAGTCCGCGTTCCTGCAGGCATTGCTGTAGTTTCATCATACTAAAATGCCGTGCCACAAACGCCGACGTTGACGGACTGACAAAGAAACAGAGCATACACAAATATTATAATTTCATCTATAGGAAGGCTTGATGGTTAGTTAGCCAATCGGTTAAAGGTGTCGATTGTACGACGCCAAACGCTTTTTTGATATTAAGAGTTCAAATGTTTGGAATGTTCCGATGACATAGGTCAGCCAATTTGAAATATATAATAGGGATGCAATGTCCGGGTGTTCTAGTGCATCGCAATTGGGGGACGCCTATGAAAGCCGCGCTTCAGATCCCAGAGATTTCTAGTTCAGTCCTCATCCCTGCCCATTTCGATTTATATAGATGAGCTACATACGAAGACCCGCATAGCGCCACTGACTATGCGCAGAGTCAATAGTTAATTTTTCTTAAAGGAGCTTTGGGAGCTGTGGGTGCCAGGCATCAAGAGTTTGCACAAGCGTAATTTCCCACTAATAAAAAAAATGTAGATATATATATTTTTTAAATAAAATTAACGCGTCTATAAATGCATGGGGGGGGGGGGGGGGGGGTGACCCGACAATTCCCGAGTAAATGCAGAACAATTGTGTGGATCTGACAAATTCTTATTTTTGTTCGTTTATCTCTGGAACAGACAACTACTCACTGCACTCTAAAAAATGTCTGCAAGTCTACTTTCACGCACAACACTCGGAGAGCCAATCACCGCAACTTACGGAGGCAGCTTAGTGTTTCCGCATCGTCATTAGCTAAGCTGCCTCCGTAAGTTGCGGTGATTGGCTCTCAGAGTGGCATGCGTGAAAGTAGACGCACAGGCTTTTTTTAGAGTGTGTACACTGCAGTCGTCAGTAGTTTGCATACGCATGCATTCCTTGCAAATAAGTTTGTATGTCAGTGAGTAGAGCCAAAATACTAGTATCAAGCAGTGCGCAACTTTTTTTTTTTTTTGCATGGGACATGCATTGTGGTTTTCAGAAGCCCATGTAATTTAACTGGCTTCTGGAAGCACTTCAAAGCTCGCCATGCTGTCGAGGTAGTTCATGACGTCTTGGTAGGTAGGAGCTTGACTGCTGATAAAGGACGCGAACGCATCTGTCTCGGCGTGCAGCAGAAGGTTCACACACGGATGTATGTACTAATAGCCTACATCATGTGTGAATATAACAATAGATCGTTCCACGTGGCTTTCTATTCTTGTAGAAGAAGCGTATTGCACCACAAATCCAGTCACTACGTCGAAATTCTATTGGTGTCTGGACAACTGGAAGAAGGACAATTCGTCGAATAGAGCAATTCGCCCTAGGCCGATTCGCAGAATGAAGAATGGGGCGAAAGTGCCCGTTTGTCGAACTGTCTAAAAAGAGTGGATTAGGGTTGGGTGTGTAGATTTCCGGTGACAATGGGTGTCAACAATGAGACCTTCTTTCCAAAAAAAGAGAGGATGACAAATGCAGCTCTCAGAATTGGCAAGGGCCCGATAGTGAATCGTACCCGGGTTATTCAAAATGATAAAAGTCGGGTTCTTCGTGAATATGTTCACTCGCAACTCTAGCATTATGGAATTTGGGAAGACCGAGCGAGGGGCTGACTTCCTGATACCTTGGTCATATGTGCACTTGTAATGTGCGCAAAAGAATAAATCACGGTCGCACTGTCGCAGCGGCTCTATGACAGAGTTAAACCAGTTGAAATCCGATCGCAGCCTCGGTATGCTACCTGGGCGCGTATCGGTGCGATTGCTGCATGCCACGTGACCAGAAAAGGAAGAAACGACGGAAGCCAATCCTAAAAAGTATTGATTATTAACGTTGCCTACTTGTTGCCTAATATATGGTTCACTGCGACAGCAATCGCTTTGGTGGCCGAAGCATGCGAAACTAATCGTCGCGATAAGCGTCAATGTGCCGAATCCTCCGGACAATCACCGGACAAAAGCTCACCACTTGAGGACATTACCTGCACAAAGGCTTAGTAAAGTAACGTTGTATTCTATCACTGATTTTAATATGAGGATCGAAT